AATTTCTTTACCCGTCTTATGTCCAGCACATTATGGGGTGAGTAAAAGCTATTCAGCTGTGTGTGGTCTTTTAATAGCATTATCTACTGTTCCCATTTTTAGTGCAAACACGGTAAATGAGCTTTCTGATCAAAAATACCTATATCTAAGTTTGGGCTGCATTTAATGGTCTCTGAAATTTTCAAGTACTACGTGACATAACAAAAGACTGCCCTGATTACAGTCAGGTGACAAACACTGCTGCAGAGGCGGAGATTGAAATGTGGATACCTGTTAGACCAATCATACCATTCCTCATAAGTCCAGCCCACTGTCCCTTCACTCTCTTCTTTAGTCCTCCAGGTACTTCTGAGTTTAGCAGCTCTTTTTGAAACATGCTTGTGGGTGGAGTTTATGTGTTTAGTTCCACTTTAAATGCTTTTTCTATATTTGGTTATTTTGCTGATACATCTATTCCCTTGCTGTAGGGACATTTTCTCTTTAGGCTTTGGCCCGTTCCGTTGGGTGTGTACCTCTGGAGACCCCCAGGACCTGGCTATGACTGACCACATCGCTGCTTCTGTCCTGGAGGAAATCGGTGCCAATGTGAACAACCGCATTAGGCAACAATACAATGACAACATTCGCTGGATCAGGGAGGCCGGGAAACACAAAATGGTGAGGGACTATTTTTGTAAATCTCTACACTCTTTCCAAGTCCAGTGGTGTCATAAGTTTTGATTTGATAACTTTTTTTGAATACAAGTGTTTTAAAATGCTCATAAAATTACATAAGAATGTTAAGGAATACAGTAGTATGTTCTGTTCGAAAGGGAGTAGGAAGAAATCAAAACTTTTTAAATCCTACCCCATAGCAAAGTAAGTAATAGATTTTACCATTATTCATGATAATAAATAGAATGCATTATAATCATATGATGTTTAAATATAAGCAACTTATGATTGAAAGGGTATGAGTATTTGAAGAAGCTGGTAGTGGTAGTGAGCATATCAATAATTTAGTTTTTTGTGGTGTCAAAACCTTCAAAATAATGACAACTCTGAATAATTGACCTAAATATATTTTTGCATTTTTCCTGTGGAGGTTGTGGGTTCCCAAGCCAGAATCCTGTACTCAGATCAGAATGGAAGGATCAAGATTGCTTTGGCGATCAACCAGGCTATTGCAGATGGAAGGGTGACGGTAAGAACAGGGCTTAAAGTACATCAAATATGGAACCCCACAAGGATCAGTAGGATCACTTTAGTTTTTTTATATTAATTATTTATGTAACAAAGTGGTTTAACAAATTATGTTTCATACTGTACACTATCCAACATGGTTAACCTTAATGTACAAAATAAGGATGATTAGCCTTTATTAAGGTATGTGGTGTTTTCCTACATCCTTTTCTACAACTATATCAACTGTGGTCCATATAGATCTATGTCAGTGACCAAATACTTTAGAAAAAGTTTGTAAAATGATTTTGTTGTTCTGTTGTTCAACTACGAATTTTGTTACATCTGTTACACTGAATTCATACATTCATTGTAATAATTTATAGATTCTATGTATTTTCATTCGTAGGCTCCTGTGGTCCTCAGTCGAGACCATCACGATGTGAGCGGCACAGACAGTCCTTTTAGAGAGACTTCCAATGTGTATGACGGGTCTGCTTTCTGTGCTGGTTAGTACATATTTTTATGTATCTAGTCATTGTAAATAGTATCGCTGAAAGATATTTGAGAAATATCTGATTGTGATTATTTGAATCATAAGGTTAACAGTTATATTAACATTTATTATTCATGTTTTCAAATCAAGATTCAGTTCACAGATTGCATTTAGAACTGGACAGTAATATTAGCTATAAACTAACTACTACAAACACATGCCGTTTAGAGAGTTAGGGTCCTATTATATACTAACAGTGCTAATTCACTTACATGTCTAGACACAAATGCACAATGTTATTTTATAGATATGGCCGTCCAAAACTTTGTTGGTGATGCATTCAGGGGAGCAACATGGGTCGCACTTCACAATGGCGGTGGAGTTGGCTGGTATGACTTGTTTTAAATCCTACTAGTTCACTTTTTAGATATGTGTATATTTTATATGACACTAAAACTATATGCAGATGTTGTGGTGTGATTGGATTATCAATGCACCACAACTTTTACTAAAAAATATATACATTGGTGGTGGATTCTCATATTTAGTATACAGTACCTCTTATGTAAATACTAGGGCTGGGAATCGCAGAGTCCCTCACGGTCCGATATGATACATGATACAAGGGGATGATACGATATTATCCCAATATGGCAATACATGCAATAATCGATATATTGCACATGCTATTCTGCAATATGATTTCTGAGAATCAAATACATTTTAACAACTGTATTTATGTGTTAAACCATTAATTGCAAAGTCAATATGGAATAAACCATTACTATTAAACAGTGACTATGTCAAGTATATTACATAAACATGTTTACTTTCTCTGAACAAACATCAAAATTGTAGCACTATCTCAAAATTTTTTTTAAATATACCAAAAAATACTCTTAATGATATATCGATATAGCAGCCCACGATAACAATACTGTGTCACCAAATTTAGTATCATGATATACTGATGTTTTTATATTTTAGCACACCCCTAAAAAAGAAGCATCAAAATTGATTTGTAGTCCTGTCGTAGTCTAAAAACTGCAAACATCTGTCTTGTTTTCAGGGGTGAAGTCATAAATGGAGGATTTGGTTTGTTGCTGGATGGTTCAGAGGAGGCAGCACAGAGAGCCAGGATGATGCTCGGCTGGGATGTGTCAAATGGGGTACGATTATAATGCTATCCTCCTCGGCTCTCATACCAACTAACTTAATTCCCTTTTTCACTACTTCCATGAATTTCCTCCCTGGTCCTCCTCATGGCCTCTTCTTTCCTGACGATCTAACCTCTGCATTCTTTTACCCTTATACTCACTGTCCCTCCTCTGAGCATGTCTAAACAATCTCTATCTTGAAATGCCATCTTTAAAATGTATTATGTTTTTTTAAACCAGTGCATCCTTGTCACATTGTGAAAATAACATCTGTTGGGGGTCTGTCACCTGCTTGTTTCTATGGAGATGTTATTACTCTATCTGGAATGTTCCCCAGTATGATAGTAAACAGCTTTACCTTACATTTATCCAATTACAAGTGGTTTTATAGCTCAAAAATATGTAGAAAAACAGCATTCTGATTGTGAGTGGGGATGCCTCTCCACAGATCTGATCTGTAACTTGGTCTGGTTTGGTCTCCATGAAGATAGAAAGCTTTAATACCATACTGTGAAACATTCTAGACAAAGCAATAACATCTCCATGGGGAAAAGCATTTGATGGATCCTCCACCAGAAAAGTTACAGAATGCACCTTTAAAACTGTAAAGCACTGTCCTCCTGTCTCTTGCCCACTGCTACTTAAAAAAAAAAAAAAAAACATTTCCAGAGATAGTACAATATTTTGTGATACTTTTTCTAGGTGGCACGCCGGTGTTGGTCTGGAAACTCCAATGCTTACGAGACCATTGAACGCACCATGCAGGAGAACAGTCTGCTGCGGGTCACTCTGCCTTACGCTGTGAAGAACGAGGAGGTGCTGGAGGAAGCTCTGAAGGAATAAGAAACCACCATCATGTTAAAGGGGCACTACGTAACTTTTTGGTTGGGTGTCCGTCACCTACTTGTTTCTATAGATATGTCATTGCTCTGCCTGGGATTTTCCACTGTATGACATTAAACATCTATCTTACATTTATTCTATTAAAGGTGCTTTTATAGCTCAAAATACCTAGAAAAACAGGCATTCTGACAGTGAGCAGGGTTGCCTCTCCACAGATCTGACTGGTCTGGTTTAGTCTCCATGAAGATAGAAAGGTTTAGCACCATATTGTGAAACATTCCAGACAAAGCAATAACATCTCCAGAGGAAAAGTATTTGATGGACCCTCCACCAGAAAAGTTACACAAGACTCCTTAAACAGACTTTTTTAAAATGGAGGAACATAATTTTTATTTTGTATGATAAATAAATTGCCACTTTGTTGAATTCTACACTTGTCTTGTCTGTTGGTGGTTTTTGAAAAGGGTGTTGCTATTCATATAGTTATAAAGAATAACAAACAAAGCAATAACTTGTGGTTGGTTGCAGTGGTGGAAGAAGTACTGAAGAAGTACTCAATTTTGTTATTTTAACAAAAGTACAGATACTGGAAGAAAAAAATAGAATCAGAAGTATCACATGAAAAATTCTTGTCAAGTAAAAATATTGAAGTACCTGTTTATGCACTTCAGCTTCAGTAGTGATTTTGATACAGATTTGAGCTGAATTTTGTTCAACTTTAACAAGTGAATCAAACTTTTTTTTCTAGGTTCACAGTTTTATATTTATATTTAGATATTTGTTTTTCCAAATAATGACCTTGATAAAAAATAAACCCCTCATTTCAGCAGGTCTCAAACAGTGATAAAAAATACTTTCACTTTTCAGTCCTGTTCAAAAACGTAGAGTAGAAACTACAGATACCCGCTCTTAGATGCTTTGCAGTAAAAGTAAAAAGTACTTGAAATTCTACTTAGGTAAAGTACAGATGCCTATTTTTATTATATATATATATATATTTTTTTTTTATTGTATACTTGAGTACAGTACTTTACTACTTTTTCTTTGTTGAAGGATGGATGTGTCCATTGATTCACTGGTTGATAACATTAGTATAATGTTTATTCCCTATAGCCTACTGACAATTTTGCTAAGAAGCTTTGCCTTTATGAAGACATACAGTGTACAGCATTGTTGTTTCAGAGTTTTTACCAGTGAAGTTAAAAGATAATAAATGGTCAGTTCCTTAAAGGTTTTGGTGAAAATTTAAGAGGTTAAGTGCATAATTCTCTACAGTCCTCCTATCTTTTAGATGTCCCTTTGCTTGTGCTTTCGCTTTCTTGTAAACCACAGTGGGAAATGGTTGTTGCTTTAAGGAAACTGAATGAATTTGAGCCTCTCTGACGCAGACGCGGCTGCATCCGAAGATAACAGCGGAGAGAATCCAATTTAGTGTGATGTATTTTGCTTTCTCCGTTCATCGTCTAGGCCTTTGTAAGATTCAGTCATTTTGGTACAATCGATCGACTGAAATAGATCAGCGTTTTTGTTCATGGTTGAGCAGTAAATCAAGATGTCCAGATGAACTGTCTTGTGGGGACAAACTGATCCAACAAGGAAACCCAGACTTTTACGCAGGAGGAGCGACTCGGAGACACAGCTGCGCGAGGACTCTGCGCGCTTTATCTCGATATGGAGTTTAAGAAGAGCCCAGTGGAGGACGACTACAAGATCACAACGAAGGTTTTGGGTCAGGGAATAAACGGAAAAGTGTTGGAGTGTTACTGTAAGAAGAGCGGAGAGAAATGCGCCCTCAAGGTGCGTAACCTGTTTAAGAAGGATGCGATTACTGTTATTCACGCTGAAGTCTGCAGCTGGCGGTTTAGAGCCTACAAGTGGCTTAGAGTCACACACATAGAACAGCCTTTGATTTTACATTTCAGTCTATTATCCTATAACCTATTATCCTTATAAGCAAAGGGTGTAGGCTGTTACTCAGTTTGAAATGTATTTAGTGAAAGACAACAAATGAAGTTGGCCTAGAGTAGTCGAGTTATATAGAAATGTTGTAATCAGTAATTTGCCTGGATGTTGAACCATGACATCATATGACATTAGCCTATATTATACAAAATTGACTTTCTGTTGGAAACAAATTTGTGTTATTCATACAAACCATCTTTTGCATGCTAAGGGATTCCTATCAAGTGTTTTTTTTTTTTGTTTTGTTTTGCTTTGTTTTTTTCCAGTTATTTTCTTTCTTGTTTTCTCAATAGTAGTCCGTGTTTACGTGATTGGCCATTAGACTTAGACTTGGACAGACTTAAATGATCCACAAGGGAAATTATTCCGACAGAGAATACCTCACAGCATTTAATAATGACAAAGAGAAATTGCGCAATAAATTCTAAATAAGTAGCAGAACCTGCAAGAGACTGGTGTCAAATAAGCAGGATAGTCCAATATATTGCTTACCACAAGTCTTAAATTGAGGTAACTGTTTGATCACCTTTAAGCACAAAGCTCCACTTCCCAACTGAACCAAGAACCAAAACAGAGTGAGGAACTGGACTTCTTTTTGTGGTTATTTGTGTTCCCCTTTAATCCGTTCCCATACAGTAGCCACTGTGGTGGTGCCATTATTGCTGCTAATTGGGAGCAGATAACTCTCTGTCAGTTCCATCTGAATGAGCAGGAAAACTGTTCTTCTTGTGTCTCTGTTGGAAGTCTTTCTTTGGAAGTGGTTTCAAAACAAATAATGAAAGAAGGACTAAATGGCTCATGAAGAATTTGCCTTTTCTCCAATCAACCCAGTATGAATGGATAATACCACAGCTTTTTGCAACACAACATTAATATAAATATGTTAAACTCTGTGGCTTTTCTCATATGTCCACACTATTAATTTCAGATATTTTACCATAAACCATAAAAGATATTTGTTTTAACGAAAATGCTAATTTACTGCAGGTTACCGTATGGTCTGTTCCCTCCATGTCAACTTTAAAGTTAGAGTTGTTTTTCATGACATATAGTTAACATAATTATATTTAAGATTTTGCGAAAAGTTTTACCTAGTTTATTATTTTATTTTCTTGTATAGATCTACTTTCTAGCAAGGATTCCACTTCTGTTACCTAGCAACCGCAATGTTACCAACAATCTAAACAAAATTACACAATGATGACACAAATAAAAACAGACTGCAACATCTTTAAATTGTCTTTGCATTTTGGATCCAATTTTCACTGTTGCTGTTGATGCGGTACAGTGTTCCGTTTTAAAACTCTCCTCTACTTCCTGTATTTCTGTAATTTTCTTCTCGTGTAAAACTATAAATATTTACCACAAGTACTATCCCACCAAACCAAGTAAAAAATTATAACAAATTATGAAAACTTGTCTTATGCTTTCTTAAATTATATACTAATGCCCTTTAACAAAATATCAAACCTTGTACGCACCCTTATTTCCCATGCACAGGTTTCTCATGTTCATTTTTAGGTGGGAATAAATAGGTAAGTTATAACATCTCATATCCACAAATCTTGGTAAACATTACTTCCTCATATTTGTGTACTAAACAAACCCAAAGACTGTCATTGTTTCGTCAACAACAAACCAAGACTGAAATAACAGAAATGTGATACCAGACGATCCCCTTACTCAGAAATCTGATGTTGAAACCAGCAACTCAAAAACCAGACCATGTACCAGAGATATGTAAACATCAAGAGTGTGAGCTTTATCATTTCCTTTGGTGGTCAGAAAGGGAAGTGTAGAAACCAGTAGAATTTGCTGAGGCGACCATACAAATGACTAGTTTTGAGCACAATATAATGGCTGATCAGGCAAAGGATTCTTTAGGTTAACTTCGGTCAGATAAGGAACTACAAAAACAAAGACACAATATAAGCTACATTGAAATAATTGTCAAGAAAATGGGTCATTTTATTTAAAGGGCCCATATTAGGCTATTTTCTATTTTATAATGTTGTTTCCTCATCACAAACATACTTTGTGTTTTATGTGTGTTTTGTTTTGTTCACACATGTTTAACACAACATATTTAGGCTCAGTTCTTCTCAACAATCTGTTCCAACTTGTCATGTCATGGTGTAATACAGGAAGTGCTCCACTGTGTTTTTAAACTCCATACATCTTCAGTAGAATCATTTGGATGATTTCAGCCCTGGAATTGCTGATCTCTACTGAGGTAAAAGTAGCTGTTAACTTTAAAACTGCCACTACATGACATCACAAGGTGGAGTGGAGCATTTTGAGCTTTGGAAATATAGACAGACTTATAATAATCAAGGGTTACTCAAACATGTGTGAATGAAACAAAACATAACTCCAGGCATGTTTTCAATGTAACAACATTTTAACATGGGTTAAAGCTCACAAGAGTCATATAGGACCTTTAAGGTGGAGTTACATTTGAGCCACTATCCACCACTCACTCTGCGCAACCTGTAAGGAGCAGTGCAGTCCTCAGGGATCCACACACTTTGACAAAACTCTGTCTGGAACCTTATCTTGTTTACCTGATTCCATAGGGTGTGACTGACAGGTGGATCAACCAATCAGAGAAATGCGTGGTCTGTTTGGGTAAAACAAACATGACGCTTTACTACCCACACATTACTATCATGTTTTTCCACTTCCAGATCCTGCAGGACACCCCAAAAGCCCGTCGGGAGGTAGACTTACACTGCAAAGCTTCTGGGGGGCCCCACATCGTGCGAATACTCAGTGTGTATGAGAACATGCACAAGGAGAAGAAGTGTATCTTCGTCATCATGGAGTGGTGAGTTTCAGGACTGTGCCTTAAACATGGCACAGTGAAGGTACAGATTGTGTGCATTTTATAAGATCAGGAATATTTAACAGTAAATCATTACATTATATGCTACCTGCAATGCATTTCTTTCTACTGACTCCATAAAAAAAAGAACTGCCCTTGCATTCAAAACACTATTGAAACCAGCAGAAGAGACAATGTAATTAGAATTGGGCATGATACTTTGCAGTGACATCAAGCTGGAGTGTTGTACATGTACAGTATCTCTCTGGTGGAATGTCCAGCTGTTACTATCCAAGATTTCAAGATTTTCTGAAAACACAAAATGGATCTACAAAACGCATTTTCAGGCACCTGTGATCAATTCAAGCATTTCTGTTTATTTATCTTGTGACTGTAAATCTATGTGTGAGGAGACAGAGCAGAGCCTACAGCTAACGTCACACTCCCAGGGAATGACATCAGCTGCAAAGTATCAATAGCTGCAAATAAATCACAAGGCATACTTTGATCATTTGTTTGCTATTAGATTTCAATTTGAATGGACTTGGATCAAAATTTGCTTCTCATTTTGAAAACACATGTTTAAAAAATGCTGAAAATGTGTCTCTGTGGGAAAACCTTGTTGTTTATCAGGCCCATCACACATCTGGCAGAGGAATGCATGTTAAATTGTTTGGAGAGGGAGATTTATTGTTCCAAAAAGCCCATGAATGTCAATGTGCTTAAAATCACTACAAAAATGTCAAAGTTTGGCTATTCTTCAGAAGTAGAAATCTGTGTTGTGAAAATGAGTTGTGTAAAAATAGTTGTGTTTGGGCTCCTCTCCATGACTCAGATTGTTCAGTTTTGTTTTGTCTGTTATTTGTCAGTTTGAACGGAGGAGAGCTGTTTAACCGGATAGAAGCCAGAGGAGATCAGGCCTTCACCGAGAGAGGTACTCAATTGTGTATAATAGCCTAAAGATGCTTAGTAGGGTTGGGTGGTATCCAAATTTTGATACAGTTAAACCTTCTCAGGATTTGACTGCAGTGAGCTATGACGCCGCAGCTCTATACGGTGTATGCGTATGACATGCAGACCCATAATCACTGAAAAGTTTCACATGAACCATCTCCAACGCAACACACACACCGAACAGATTTACCGCACATCCTCTGTCGCAGAAAGGACACATATAATCCACTGAGTCGTGTTCTTTAGTTCGACAGAAGCTGAACCGCATCAGCGCGCAAGGAAACAGTTGTTTATCAGCGTTTTATAGTTTATGCAAATGAGCCATGTGGTTTTAAGTTTCATTTCTGTAAAACGTGAACAAATGTATGCCTGAAGTCAAAATACTGCCAAATTGCAGAAGTACTAGTATTTTTATTTTTGGGGCGGACCAACTTGCTTGCGGCCTGACTTGCCATGAGTGTCACGTCACAATAGAACCAAAATAATCAAACGTCATCTCTCCACACAGTTAAAAGAAACATTGTAAATACTATTCATTTTAAATTGTAATAGTAATAAATTGAAAATACACACACATACCACACCTTCATTTGTGCTGAGCAAACAAATGTAGGTATCAATAAATTAAATAATTAAATTATATTTATATTAGGTCCTTATGTGCTGCAGATTTTTTAAATGACAGTAATGAAACTGATACCGTTGCTACTTTTTGATACCGCAGGATACCATAATACCATATTACCACCCAACCCTAATGCCTAGAGCCTAAAGGGCCCATATTGCACTGTTTTCTGATCTGTTATAATGTTGTTTCCTCCTCAAAACATGTAGACATACTAGTAATAAATCGCTACTCAAATATGTGTGAAAGAAGCAAAATGGCTTAAAGGTCATAAAGAGCCAATTTAGCATAAGATAGAACTTTTAAATTAGTTTACTAAAGTTTACTAATTGTGAATAATTACTCTACTATACTATAATGCTATATATGCTATTACATATGTACATAGTACTATTCTCATGTTTAGATTTTACTATAGTATAGTAAGTGTGAGGTCAAAGATGTGATAGCCCAATGAGAAACTATCCGTCTGTTTAATGCTGTATATATTCTCTCTATACTGAAAATGTTCTACTTTTTCTTTTTGAAGATTTGGAGTTATTAGTTTAAATATAGCAATAAACTAAACCTTGAAATTCAAATTGAAGTGTAAGATTGCTTATTTGAAAAATGTAATTAACTGATTGTAACTGATGCACACAGAAATGAAAGCCACAATACTATATCATTAAGAGTGAAATAAAATGTCATCTCTCTAATCTTATTTTCTTAAAGATGCACCGTGTAACTTTTTGATTGAGGTCCATCACCTGCTGGTTTCGACAGTATGGAGATGCCATTGCTCTACCGAGAATGTTTAACAGTATGACATTAAACAGCTCTACAGGTGGTTTTAAAGCTCAAAAATACCTAGAAAAACAGGCATTCTCACTGTGTGGGGTCACCTCTCCACAGATATGACTTGTAACTTGGTCTTGTTTGATCTCTATGAAATTAGAAAGGTCTAATGCCATACTGTGAAACATTCCAGACAAAGAAATAATGTCCTCATGGAGAAAAGCATTTGACGGACCCTCCACCAGAAAAGTTACACAATGCACAATGCACAGCGTTTTTGAGTGTCTGGAGCTATACAAGTGTTATGTATTATTATTATTAAAATACATGCTTTCTTCCATTTAGAGGCATCTGAGATTATGCATGACGTTGGGACGGCCATCAGCTTCCTGCATCAGATGAATATTGCTCACAGGGACATCAAGGTACATCTTTAATTCTCCATACAAAAACAACAATTAATTCAGTAATAAGTAGGGATGGAGCAAGAAACAATTTTTACACACCACCAGACTGGGTCCATGAGAACAAGACAAGACGAGATTTTGACATTTGTAGTAAATAAGTAGTGCATTTCACAATTTTGGCTTTTTGGATATTCGTATTTAATTTATGTAATACTTTAGCGGCCATTGTAGTACTGCTTTTTAACTACAGCTTCTCAAATTTCATTACTCGCCGTCTTGTAACTCTTTTTTTGTTCAAGCGAAAGGTAAATTCAGGGGAGATCAAATTTGTCTCGTGAGATCTTGTGGCACGAGATCTTGCCCCATCTCTAACAATAAGTAATTTGCTTGCATTGTTACAGCCTGAAAACCTGCTGTACACAACTCAAGACAACAACGCCACTCTGAAACTGACCGATTTTGGATTCGCAAAAGAGACCATCATTCACAACAGTCTACAGACCCCCTGTTATACTCCTTACTACGCTGGTACATCCTCACTGACACACGCTGTTTAAGTTTTAAGTTATCTTCTCACCCACATTGTTTTTGTAAGCTACTTTAGCCAATCAGTGCATTTTTGACTTCTTCAAACGAAACAGCATTTTCAAATTCCTACAGGTCAGGTCAGAATCCTATGATGGATTTTTATATTACGCAAAATTGACTCTTGTAAGGCATGTTATAATGTTCTTACCTCCTCAAAAATATACCTGGAGTTGTGTTTTGTTTTGGTAACCCTTCATTATTAGTCTGTCTACATCTCCAAAGCTCAAAATGCTCTGTTCCACGTTGTGGTGTCATGAGCTGGTTATTTTCAAGTTAACAGCTACCTTTTATCGTTGGTTTAGCAAACATTGGCAATTCTAGGTTTTTTGTTTGAGGGTTTGTGTGTTAAACTTGTGTGAGTGAAACAAAACACAACTCAAGGTGTGTTTTTGCTCAGGAAACATTATAACATACTTGTAAACTCAAAAAATAGTGTAGTATGGGTTATTTAAGATTCACTTTAATGTCCCTGTATCGTATTGTCAAAGGCCCCACAATATTACCGTGGACCATCACAAGTGTCTTTGCTTAAATTTATAGTTATGGTGCAGCAATAGCTAAAAAAAAAAACAGAGGGAACTACATAGACCATGATCCTTTGCTGTCTAACATGTAGCAGACTACATGAAGAAATAACAATTAGAAGCACTTTTAGATCTTACTTCTTTGGATTAAATCTTTTGAGATACATTTTTAAAGAAGAATAAATATCGAGAGATTTGGATATCATTGCATCCCTATTCAGGACTACGTTCGCTGGAGGATTGTACAGATAGTGCATGTTTTGAGTTGATGGGGAAACCGGTTTCGCCTGCAGGAAGCCATGGTGCTGTGGTTGAGTGGCTGCTGTAACTGTCAGACTGTAGATTTGTTTACCCGCTTTGTGGTTAATATTTCTGTAATTACTAGGCCTGAGCAATTACTCGTTCACAAAAGCCTCAGAAAGTGCTGCCATTATTCAAAACCAAAGATGACTGAACTGTAAAATCAATATGGCAGTTTTGTGGAGCCAGTCTTTAACAAATAATGACAAGGTTCAGCATTTGTGGATCATATGTTTGGTTATTTGCTTCAAAAACTCAGTTATATTGGCCCCTGTCCTATAAAACATGAACACCACCTATTATTAGCATTTTTAGTAAGTAATATATTGTATATGAAGAAATTTTATTTACTTTATGTCTTCATTTGTTTCAGCTCCAGAAGTTCTTGGTCCAGAGAAATATGACAAGTCCTGTGACATGTGGTCGCTGGGGGTCATCATGTACATTCTGTGAGTGTCAGAGCTCGTCTTGAGGCTATAGTTTACGGAGTCATTTCCTATGCACATGTAAAGACCCCCACAGCCACTAGAGGGCCCTGTAAGCTAAATGTTTCACCTTTAGCTGCTCTGAAACAACATAAAGACTAATTGAGTGAATGTATTGTATTTGAAAGTGTCATTTTAAAATCTATTTCTGTTTTACAAATTAAGTATAATACCTGTGACAGTGCACTGACAGCAGCTTTTTGTTCAACAGGTTATGGTATGTTTGTGGATCATATGATAATTATTAAGAAAATAATGAGAATAAAATGTTCTATTATATTGTATTATAATAATCATCAAATAAAAGTGACAAAAAATAGCAAAATACTAAAACGATTTACATATTTGTATCAAGTAGAATAAAATCTATATATATAATATAATATATAATAATAATATATATAAATACAAAATAGAGCTATAGGCTATTTACTAGTAGACGGGTCATGGAGATTCAGATTCAGAAAACTTTATTGGTCCCAGAGTGTAATTCATTTGCAGCATTCTGAAGTTCTCACACACAAACACACCGTGTGTCAGTCCATTCCAGTCTACAAGTGGAACTCAATACAGCAATGTACAGTATTACAATCCAAATAACTTTAAAAGATTCTACCATTAGAATTGGGCATACAGATAAAGTACACAGGTGAAAATAGGGTCCTCATAAAGCTCACTTATGCTGATGTGTGTTGCTCTGGTTTTAGACTTTGTGGGTTCCCTCCTTTCTACTCAAACACGGGCCAGGCCATCTCTCCCGGGATGAGGCAGAGGATCAGAAGAGGCCAGTATGACTTCAATGATCCTGAATGGGACGAGGTTTCTGATGAAGGTAAGGTTTAAATGATCGATCATATATGGAGATAGGCCTAATGTGTCTTATTTTATTGTATTCAGCCAAGCAGATCATTACCGACTTGCTGAAGACCAACCCAAACGAGAGGATGACGATTCAACAGTTCATGAATCATCCATGGATCAGTGTAAGGACTCTTTATAAACACATCCACCTTTATAAGCTTGTATTTAAAAGTAATTCATCTTAATGCCTTTTCAATACTGCAGCAGTCCATGGTGGTTCCTCAAACGCCTCTGCACACTGCTCGAGTTTTGACACAAGAGAAGGATCTATGGGGCAATGTCAAAGTAAGATTCCAGTTTATCCACTAGAGGGCAGTAAGACATAAAATTCACTTTACAGTATTTGTTAGTTATTGGGAATCAGGGGTGAATATAGTGTAGTCTAGTTCTTAATTGTAGTTTGTTCAGTATTATGTACTTTAGTTCTCCAATTACATTTTGATCTTGCCCTGTTTACTCCTAGTTCTATGGTTTAGTTTTAGGTCTTTCATTGCTATCTTATTCCTGGTTCAGTCTAGGTATAGTCCTGACTCCTGGCCATGCCCATCTCAAGATTACGAGATTATAAATATTTGATAAGGTGTGAAACATTATAAAACTGCCCTAACAAACATGCTTTTTTTTCAACAGGAGGAAATGACCAGTGCTTTAGCTACAATGAGAGTGGACTACGAGCAAGTGAAAATCAAAGAGTTAGATTTGTCCAGTAACCCTTTACTGAACAAGAGGAGGAACAAGGGAGCTCCCAGGGGAGAAGACGGGGCAGGCAAATAGAAAATATACATGTTGTTTTAGCTATTTAGTCATTGAAATGTCATTATTTTGTATGGATCAGTTTTTAATAAATGCATTATTAGGTTTTACACTTGTGTGAGCGGGTGATTGGTATGTCTGGTAGTAACAGTCTAGTAAGTGTCTCTCAAGATAAACTCACTGACCACTGCTGTCTATGTCAGATTGTTCAAATGCAGTATGTTTATTTCTCACCAACCTACAATGAATACTTACTTAAATGTTGTTTAAATACAAGCATTTATGCTTATTTTTAAACAACACATTTGTGCTTTGTATTGCACAAGCGCTTTGTGTTGCATTTTTTTGTATGAAAAGCGCTCTATAAATAAAGTTTGATTGATTGATTGACTGACATTTCACCTCTTTTACTGGTCAGTCTCCTATTCAGAGTTTTATAAGCATGTCACTGTAAAGGTTACAGTTGGGATAGGATTGGGTTCTGGTTGGTTTTCCTGGTTGTTGGTGGTTACTGGAAACAACAGTGTTCAGTCAAATACATTTGCATGAGTCCGCTGCATTGCTCTGTCTATTCAAAATAGTGAGGGACAGTATAAAGGTACATTGACAGAGGACAGGTGAATACAGGACAGGAGCGAGCCTGTCTCATCAGTGACGATGGGGTCAGTGGTGATGGAGTCCGGTCTGATGGGGTCTGTTTTGATGGGATCCAGTCTGATGAGGGCCAGTGTGATGGGGCTTGAGATGATTCCTGGTTTCCAGGTGATGAGTGACCTTCTGACGATAAAAGAGAAGAACATCATTATCAGCCTTGTAGAGCCACACTGTACGGTCAGTCCCTGTTTACATTTGATATTTGAGCTAATACATGTAAAGACAAAGATCTCCACTTAAGCGTCAATCTATGTATATATGTACATCTACAAGTGGTAGAAATGGGATTTCTCCGCAAAGAGGAGGGTGCTCCCTTAGAGATAGGGTGATGTCAGTCACACGAGAAGAGCTTGGAGTAGAGTCCTTGCTCTACATGGAGAGGAGCAGCTCAGGTGGTCCAGGCACTTCTGCTCAGACTGCTGCCTCCATCACCCGGCCCTGGATAAAGGAAAGAAAATGTATGGAGAGCTAATCTAGCTGTTTTGAGGACTACATCTGGGCCCTAGTGTGTGACTATCTTTATGATACCTTAAAAACTTAAAGTTAATTTAATGTGACATAAACAGACCGATATATATATTTTTAAAAAAAACATTACATTAGTTTTACATTTGAAAGCATAGATTAAACTGAAATTACTTATTTGCTGCTTTTAAAATGGTCACGTTTATATTGAGATTTGAATCATTTACATTACTGATGAACAAAATATCCTGACCTGCCTCATCAAAGTGATCAAAACAGATGTACTGCCTTCATCACTATGGATCATGTCATGTGCAAACTTCATTTATAGTCTTGTATGTCTTACTCCTGCTCCGCAGCTGATGAAGTGCACAGTGGCCCAGGTGCTGCAGTCCACAGAGGAGCCAGAGGGGGCGCTGTGGAGGAGTTTGGGCTGTGGAGTCCTGTGTGTGATTAGAGACAGCTCCATCAACGCCTACTTCCTGCGCCTCTTCTCTGTTCAGGTCAGAAAGGGCTGATGCCAGAAAAAGTATTTCCTTCCTTCATTTGATATTTTCTTGGTTCAGACAATGAGGCTTTCAATATTATGCTTCATGAATATTGTCAACACATAAACTTCAGCTTTCCACTTTGATGCTATGTAACACACCAAAAAATAGAAATCAATAAATAAACAGTATGAGTCAAAGCATGTTATTGCTATGCCTTTAAAGCTCTCATATTAGGCTATTTTCTGATCTAGGCTATAATGTCCTCGTGTTTTGTTAAATTCACACAAAAGCCCTGTGTATTTAGGCTGAGATATTCTTTTAACAGAAAACAACTCTGTTTCACATTGTCATGTCATGTGGTAATACAGAAACTGTGTTTTTAAACTCCATACACTTTCACTAGAATCATTTGGATGATTTCAGCCTTGGAAATGCCAACTGGAACAAAATGTAAAAGGGTGGAATAGAGCATTTTGAGATTTAGAGCTGTAGACAGACTAATAATTACTCAAACATGTGTGAATGAAACAAAACACAACTCCAGGTATGTGACAACATGGCTAAAACCTCACAAGAATCAATTTTGGGTAACATAAGCCCTTTAATGTTCCATATGGCATTCAACTATATCCTGCGACTTTGTTTTGTATTTTTCACCACTCCACAGTTCTGACCTATAACTTGATCTGGTTGAGTCGTCTGCTTGTTTCCATGGAGATGACATATGGTGTAACATTGCTGGCAAAACTCAAAACACAAAAAAACATCCCCATAGAGACAAACAGGTGACGGAGCCTTTACCCTTCAGTGCAGTGTCAATTTTCATTTATTTCTTGTGTGTTTGATGTTGTGACACTGTAGATGTCTTTTTATGCTCTATGAATGAAATAAATAAAAAAAAATAAATAAAAAAAATAGAAACAAATCAGAGCGGTGTGTGTTGGAAAGAACTCTCCTTATGGACATTTCCTTTATAAACAATAACAGCCTTATCCTTATCTCAGCTGAGGGTGTGTCTCTAATCTCTCTCTCTTCACTTTCTCTTCTTTCATTCTCTTTCTTTCTTTCTGTTTCCCTTTCTATCTATCAATCTCCTTCTTTCTTCCCTTCTCTCACCCCTAACCCTCTCTCTTCTCTATCTATCTCTTCTCTATCTCTATTCCCTCTCCAGCTCTTTCTTTCTCACTCTCCTCCTCTCTCATTGCATCTCATCTCCCTCTTCTTCCCTCTCTCTCTGTCCCCATCTCTTTCTCCCCCACTTCTCTCCCTCCCTCTCTCTTCTCTCTATTTCCCTCTACCCCTCTCTTTTCTCCCCCTATATTTTCCCCTCCTCTCTCTCTCTCTCTCTCTCTCTCTCTCTCTCTCTCTCTCTCCCTTCCTCTGTCTCTCTCTCACACACAGAAGGCAGAGCTGCTGTGGGAGCATGAGGTCTATGTCCCCTTTAAGTACACCGTATCCCGCACGTACTTCCACACTTTTCCGGCCGACGTAAGACACACAACAACTGTTCTTGTTTACAAAATAAAAACATTTTGTACTTTGGGGGATTTTATTTGTGAATATCTGTATTTTGTGTGTACTATTTTTCCACAGGGACATCAAACCGGGTTCAACTTCGCAGATGAAACAGAGGCAGAGGAGTTTCATTTTGCTGTGGAGACTATTAAAGAAGATCTAGGTTATAAAATATATCAACATTACATTATAAAACTACACAATACGAGTATAGCTTACTACTTTAAACTGTCCAGATTATGCTATTTTCTGATTTATGTTCTATGTTGTTGCCTCAAAAATATACCTGGAGTTGTGTTTTGTTGCATTCACACATGTTTAACACACAAACCTGCATATTTAGGAGTACATTTTGTTGCACCTTGTGATGTCATGTGGTAATACAAGAAGTACTCCACTGTGTTTTTAAGATCCATACACTTTCACTAGAACAATTTGGTTAATTTCAGACGTGGAATTGCCAATCTCAACTGAACTAAAGGTAAAAGGAGCTGTTAACTTTGCATAGACCCATCCAAGATGCAAAATTGAAAACACCATTAAAATTTTGCCATAGTAAAGAATACAATAAATGTGCAATCTTTTATGCTCATTTATAAGACTGAACTAACTGAACTAAAGGTAAAAGGAGCTGTTAACTTGAAAACAACCACAGTATTTGAGCTTTGGCGATGCAGGCAGCAAATGATCCTGCATTACTTTAACACATGTGAATGAAACAAAACACAACTCCAATTATGTTTTTGATGATGTAACAACATTATAACACGGCTTAAAGCTGACAAGAATCAATTTTGTGCACGATAGGGCCTTTAAATATTAAATTAGCCAGTTATGTTCACATAGGATTTGCATTGACCCGTCCATGATGCAAAAATGAAAACGCCATTCAAATTTTGCCATAGTAAAAAATATAATAAATGTGTAATCTTTTATGTTAATTTATAAGATTATATACAAACCTGGGCATGCACATTTTGCTATGAACTCAAAATCATTACAATGTATACATATTGAATAGCTAACAAAATATAAATGTATGATAATGTTTGGATAATAATGGAAAGAAAAATATAATTACATATAACATCTGTGCTATAAGAGCAAATTACTCAAAACTGATTCACCTTTTATTTGGTATGCTATAATATCCTCACAAACATTAAACTCTGACTCTTTTTTAGACAAGCTTTCACTTGAAAACACTTCCGAGAAATCTGACGTGTCATCTGAGATCTCTGATGCAAGGTAATAACATGTTGGCAAAATAAGACAGACTCACAATAACAGACTAAACGATCTGATGTAACATAACATTTGTTTTGTGTTTAGAGAAAAACCTTCGTCCCACACAGAGACAGAGACGAGCAGCCCCACATTGTCACCAACAACTGCTTCTACTTTTGTGAGTGACTTTAAGCTAAACATTCACAATTTTTGGTTCAGAAAAAGACAAATAAGTGTGGCACCACTGGCGCAACTACTATGTTTTATTCTGTTGAATTCAATTTTTTTTTAATATGGCACATTTAAAGGATCCATTACGCTGTTTTCTGATCTATGTTATAATGTTGTTTCCTCATCAAAACATACATGGAGTTGTGTTTTGTTTCATTCACACATGTTTAACACACAAACACTGCATATTTGGCGTCTCTCAAACAGAAAACACTCTGTTCCACTTGGTGATGTCATGTGGTAATATAGGACGTGCTCCAATGTGTTTTTAAAGTCCATACATCTTCACTAGAATAATTTGTGTAATTTCAGCTCTGAAACTGCTAATCTTTACTGAACTAAAAGTCAAAGGTATCTGTTTACCTGATTATTGCTTCATGACATCGCAAGGTGGAACAGAGCATTTTGAGCTTTGGAGATGTAGACAGACTAAGAATAAAGGATTACTCAAACATGTGTGAATGAAACAAAACACAACTTCAGGTACATTTTTGACGAGGTACCAACATTATAACATGGCTTAAAGCTTAGAAGAATCAATTTTGCATTATATAGAACCTTTAAAATAGAACCTTAAAACAACTTCTAGTTGTGTCTCTTTCTTGTGAAGCACTTCAGATGACCAAAGTGCTTCACAAAAAAGTAGAAAAATAAAAAATACAGATAACATGATACATAGGAAAAGTAGAGTAAAACACCAAGATATCCTGTCTACCTCGTATTAAATGCCAGGGAGAAGAGGTGTTACTCAAATAAGCATTTTTATTTATGGAATTTGTTTTCATAAATATAATGCTGAGCCATCAGATTTTTTTTTTTGAATTTTTTTTACCATGATAGCAGGAAGAAGTTCTTTCTGTCTGTCTGACACATTGTTAGTATTTTAAGCATGACTTTTATCCCTAGCCCAGCTTTAGAACAGCTTTCTCACGTGGACAGGTGAAGCGGGGTGAATCACCGAAGGACAGACAATTAGATCTCTTCCCAAAGCTCTAAATTGCTAGCCAGACTGGCGCCACCTAGTGCCTCCGCTCAATTTAATTTCTCTCCAGCAACTAAGTCTGGAATCGGTATACACTAGATGGTTTGCAAAAACCCAAGAAGTGTGAGTTTAGGTACCAGCCAATCAGCGAAGAGCCATACATTCTGTGTTGGCAACGATTCCCGAGATCAAGGATTGAAGAGAATGTTTGGTGAATTTTATCAAGGGGAAAGACGTTATTGTCCTTCTTCCGACAAGATTTGGGAAAAGCTTAATATACCAGTTAGCCCTGTTAGCGGCGCATTGCATATGTGATGACCAAATAGCAGCGACTGGTTAAATGAAAAAAAGTACCTGCCTACCGTTGTGCAAACAAATTCTAATGCTGCAAGGTCAGACAGTTTCTACAAAGTGAAAGCAGCTGATAAATCAGGCTACTATATTGCAACACACTGAAACTTTTCTGGCAAAGGGTCCATCACCTGCTTGTATCCATAAATATGTAACTCTTTTGAACAGTATTACTTTAAACTTGTACATCTCAGTGGGGACATGCCAGTGACTTCACCAGGCCAAGTTACTGCTCAGTGAAGAGGCTGATAAGCTTGAGTTCATTTAGAGCAAAAACAATACCAGTAATTAAATAAATAAAGTAGATATGTTTAATATTTTACTGTGGAAGATTCCTCGCAAAGCAATAGCGGAGACTCCACAAGAAATGTTACACAGTGTACCTTTAATGGGGAGAAAAATTATTACTTGTTTTGTTTAGAAAATGTTGAGTAATGCATCTTTGATATTATGTGTAATTGTGCTGAACAGTGATCAATGCAAAGAGTGTATTGTTTATGAGCACTATTTATAGAAAATGCATATAAGCAGAAGGTACACACATGTACTATGGGGTATTAGTATTTAGTATTCTCAGTACATGTATTCAGTTACTTTCCAACAATGCATATGCGTCCGTCGCTTCCTTGGATAAACTTTATTGATCCACAGAGGAAATTACTTGGAAACAGTAGCTCACACATCACGATATATCATAATAACTAAGAGAAAAAATATATAAGTAGCAATAATACATTTCACATAAATAAGTAGCAAAAATAGCAAGAGACCGGTGTCAAATAAGGCAAAATTATATAAAAGTAAATGTAAAAAACTTAAATATAAATACAATTTCCCCGTACAGGAGCATGACAGTGAGACGTTCCTGAAGAGGCTCTTGTCTCAGAGTCATCTCACAGAGGAGGACCTGAGGATACGCAGTGTGAGTGACATTGTGGATCACATCATCTCTCAGTTAGGAGGAGTCCAGGCTGCACAGAAGGAGCTGCACAGAGGGCTCTTAGGTACTGTGTTCATGGACTACATTTGTGTGCTTAATTCATTCAATATACACATGGTGGTGGTAAGCTAACACTGTGGTATGACTCATTTCCCAGAAGAATGAGGGAGGATGAGATTTTGACATAATTTATACCAAATAAATTCTGTAGTTCACTTAAAGGTCGTGTATAGACCTTTTTCACAACACCCGAAAGTGCCGAAGTAGGGTAAACGTCACTTACGTTAATGCTTTTTTATGGCCAATATTTGTGGAAATGTCTCACATATTTTCCACCAGCTTCATAAATCTGCCCCATCACCAAATCTTCACCCAACAAGGTCGACAAAGAACATACAGTATACTGTCCATGAAGAATTTATCCACAACTATCAAGGTAAAAGATGAAAACTTAAAGGTGAACAACGACGACGCATTAGTGAACTACTCCTCAGCAAAACTAACATTATGGTCAAGAATAAAACAGAAGTAATAAGTCATTCATTAATATAGTTAACTTGTAAACTCAGACAACAGATGTTCACAGATTACATGTCTAGCATTGAAACTGCACAAATCTCTCTGTCTATGCTAATATCTACATCATGAAATTGATTTTTAATTTTCATTGTAGAATCAGTCTGAGTTAACAAGTTACTTATGTTTTATTCATGACCATAACATTAGTTTCGCTCAGGAGTAGTTCACTAATGCATTGTCGTAGTTCGCCTTTACGTTTTTGTCTTTCTTACCTTGATAGTTGTGGATAAATTCTTCATGGACAGAATATGTTCTTTGTCGACCTTGTTGGATGAAGATTTGGTCATGGGGCAGATTTATGAAGCTGGTGGAAAATACACGAGACATTTCCACACATATTTTGTCATAGAAAAGCATTAACATACGGTACGTGACATTGATCCTACATCGCGGCACTTCCGGCCATTGTGAAAAAGCTCTATTACACAAGATTGATTCTTGTGAACTTTTAGTCATGTTAGAATGTGGTTATCTCATTAAAAATATGGCTGGAGTTGTGTTTTGTTTCACTGACACATATTTGAGTCATACTCTCTGTTTACATTTAAAACGCAAAATGCTCTGTTCCACCTTGTGATGTCATGACGCGGTAGTTTACAGGTTTACCTTTCACCTTCTGTTCAGCAGAGATTGACAAATGTATTACCAAATGACATCACAAGGTGGAAAAGTGTTTTCTGTTTGAAAGAAGAACCTAAATATTCAGGGTTTGTCTGTTAAACATGTGTGAATAAAACAAAACACAACTCCAGATATGTTTGTGATGAGGAAACAACATTATATCATAGATCAGAAAACTGTGTAATATGGGCCCTTTAACAAACGTGAACCAAATAAGCTAATGCAAACTAGTACTTGTTTTGCTTAAATTTTGTGATTTTAATGCTGTGTTGGTAATGTTACTTATGGGACAGCCACAGTTAATGAATTGTGGCCCACTATTCTATTGGTACCTATAAGTGCTATTCTGTAGTTACTAGTTACTCATTCAGTGCATCCTCTGCTGGCTACTTTTGAGCTTTATTTATACTTAAAAATCAGTTTCTTGTCTCTGTAGAGTATTTTATTTTAAGCAAAAATAATTATGGTGCCCAAAAGTAAAGAATCCAAATTAATATAACATCTTTAAATTTTTTAAATGAACAAACAGATCTGAGCCACCATCATGAAGTATGGAAAATCACTGTTGCAAATGAGCTTCCCTAAATGTTACAGGATCCGGCTCCAAGACCTTACCTCGCTCTACAGGCTCCGCCCTGTCTCAAAAAAAAGGCCCTCTGCCCCAGACCCCCTCTTCAACAGGACCCCCCATCACAGAACAGGAGCCTCTACTGTACTCTAACACTGCACCTGTGAGGGTCAAGAAGAGTGTAAGTTTCAGTGTAAGACCCTTATCAAAACATCACCAAATTACCAAATTACTGTTAGAAAAGTGCAATTATCAATGCAATCAATGTTTGTTTTTTTTTAACCAAAGGCCCCTGTGGATGGAGGAAAGAATGCCATGTTGTCTGCGCTCACAGAACTGTTCAAGAAAAAACAGCTTCTGCAAAATGAGGAGAATGAAAATGAATATCAAAATGAAAAGTAATATTGATATTATTATATCTATGTAATAGTGCTTGTAAACTGCTTCAAATAATTGATATAACTGTCAAAAGTTATATGATGTTAAGTCCTCCTATAATCCAATAATAAAACCAGATCAGATGTTTTCTTAATAAGATAAAATGAGGCAAGGGAAATGAATTCACATGAAAGTAGAAATATATTATTTTTCTAAATTCAAGCCAAATATTAAAATATAGCTATGACAAATCTCTTCATGAGAGATGTTTAAGAGGAGTGTCAGGAGTCTGTGGTTTTGCCTGTAAGATGTACAGTATTTCATTATAGTGACTGTGTACCTGTGTTTATTTAATTGCTTCCTCATAACATAGCGAGTGTTTCTCAAGATGTGGAGATCCTTCAGGTCGTACTTGGACAGCTCTTAAGTTTGTGGATTTGTCTAAATTAGAATTCATTATATCCACTTTTCTCCTCCTTTCGAAAATTTCTCATTTAGAACAACAGAGGAGATTATGTAGCCCACTTTTAGACCTGGTTCAATGCTTGATTAGAGCTGGAATAGTCCTGCAAATAATGTACTTGATTTAGATCTGGTGGTACTTGGAAAGATTTTTTTTTTTCTTTGGTGGTTCTTGGTGTGAAGAGTTTGAAAGCCACTGACCTAGTGTTTGGGATAGAGCAACAAAATCAAACTGTTCAGGGCCCTCACATAGCTATAACTTCATTAACTGCGTGTTAGAGTAATCCTTTATTGTCTTGCATTTGAGAATTTAGTGTACTGAAAAATTCAGTTTTCACCTACCCCCTATCTCCGCCCACAGGTCTGTAAAGAATCAGAATGTACGTGAGCGTGGGTTAACATTGTTACACAGACCAGTTTAAAAGTTGAGCCAAATTATGAGTCATCTGATGGGGCAACAACAAAACAATAGAAAAGTACAAACCCGTTCAGAGGCGTGGGCAATGGAGCACGTACTGGGAGACGCACACACCCACTGGGACAACAACAAGCGCACGTGCGTCTGGATCTGCGCGCGCGGGGGTCAGTGGAGAAGCACGAGCGCAGCCCTGTTTGGTTTCATTCATCGGATTCACAGCTACAGCACGGAACAGCGCTGCTATCCTGTGCCCCTCTCCACGGCCCCGAAAACGAGCTACAACCGGGAGGATGAGGGGCTCCTATAGCCCAACAAACCCCCGGAGCCGGGCAGGTACGTGCACGCTCTCATCCGTGGCATTTTGCGCTATTTTCGGTGAGGATTTGTGCAGGAAAGAGTGGCGGAGTGTGCAGGGGAGCAGCAGCAGCAGATGAGCGAGGGTTGAAGTAAACAAGCGTCAGTCACGTACGCACCGAGCCATAAGGAAGCATCGACTACGAGTTAGAGCAATAGACAACCTGATCATATTACATTAAATGGAGGTCAGTTATTAAGGAAGGTGATGCTAGCTTTTGTCTAAATGTAAGGCTCAGATCGTCTGTGTTTGTGGATGAAACTGGTGCAGAGCTTGTTAGCCCGTTAGCCTTTAGCTTCTGTAGTTTTAAATGGAGAGACACATGTAAACACAGTGAATTGAAGCATGCTTTAAGTACTCAGTTCTTTAAAATTAATCGTGCGAAATCGTTTATCATAACGTATTGTTACCGGTGTATATAGCCTAGCCCACGCTGAATGAATAGGATCCTTCTAGTATATTCTGGTGGAAGGCAATAAAGTTGAGTTGCAAGGGCTATTGTAATGTTTTGTCTTATTAAATAGAGCTAAAGGCCAAAAAGTGCAAAATTGTATCCTAATACATCAACATTTGGCAATATAACTTGTTTTGCGTGTCCTGCTAACCTTTGTTCTAGTTATCTATTGTCATAAAGAGTTTGTCTATCACATATCACATTCAAGCCTAATTCAATAGATTGTATAGGTGCTTTCTATGAATGAGATCTGTTCATTAATACATGCTGTTTGTATAGACAGGGCTTGATAAAGTTAGCTGCAAACACAACTTTAAGCCATGCACAATAGTTAATCCTCTGATCAGGGATTATAGATAGTTTTTATTATTATGCAATAGTTATATTAGTCATTGTGTGTCCCTGTCAGTCGTTCTGTGCGTTCTTCAGTTCCATGTTCTGTTCCCTTGTAAAGCTGGAGATGAGAGAAAGGCTTTGCTACTTAAAGAGGTCTGGACATCTGCTGCTCCAAATATGGACTTGAATTGTCTCTAGCTCTGCATTCAAACATAGTGGAGCTGAGGCTGTAGTGTCTGATATGCAGAGGAGTAGGAGCAGTTTTATTGTTTTTCTAGAACTGATTTTTTTGGTTACTGTGTAACTTTTCTTTTGGAAGGTCTGGCACTTGCTTGTCTTGGAGATATTTTTGCTTTGAATGTTTCAGAGTAGGGTTTATCTATCTTCATGGAGACAAGCAGGTGACATTACAGTTAGTTACAGGTCAGAATCAGATCTGAGAGGTGAGAATACAAGGTTTGCAACATATTTTAGCATTAAAAACATCTATAATTAACTCTGTGCAAGATAGGTATTGATATGTCACTTTCTGTAGAGCATTCTAAGCAAAGCAATAATAACAATCAAAACAAACTGTACATACAGCACCTTTTAAAGTGTAAGTCTGGTCACTGCTTAGTCCTAGTTTAGACCTACTGGCCTAGTTTAGTTCTGGGTCTTGGCGTCTTTTTGTGCCTGACTAACTCAACTGTAATGAAACACATGAGTCAGGAATCTGAAGCATACGCAGCTTTAGTCTAGTAGTCTTGGAATCTGTGGAGATTAAAGTTTAAAAAGTTGTTGAAATAGATCTATGCTTGCTTTGTTGTCCTTGTTTACTCCTACCCTTTAATATTATTCCACATGGGATCTGTTTTCGTGGTGACGATGAGACGGTGATCCTGGTATGTGAAGTAGAGAAGTGTAGAGTTTCATCTGTCTTGTGTAGAGACTCAATTTTTTGTGAATTTTTTATGTTGTCACTTTTTTTTACTTGTGTTTAATTGTCATTCTACAGTTGGTATTCTAAGCATGCACACATATTTGAAAAAAGACAGAAATATGAATTGCTAAACTAATACAAGCATCTATGCATTTTAGTTTGAGTTCTAAACTTCAGGGTTAGCATGTTTTATACTTAAGATCCAATGGCGATTTTAAAGTTCTCTGCGGAGGACAATACAATACTAAGGTAACTTCAACCTTTTTGATATTGCTTGTGACCATTCATTTTAATCCTTGTCTCAGACCTGATAAATAAAAATGCATCTCTGGGTGGATCCTGTTTGAATACCACTAATCTAAACTATTTTTGCTTCTCGGCAAAGCAGGTGAGGCAGAAACAGGAAAAGCATGCTTTGAGTTGTATAGGCGACTGGAAGGAGTGATCTCAGGTGAGGGGCTGGTCTGTGCATGAAAGTGAATTATACTGTCTGAGGTAACAGGACAAAGCATGTTTATTTAAGGGAAGGTATGTAAAGGCTTGTCTTATAATGCATGTTACCCAAAATAGCTTGTTTCAAAGTGAGCATAACTTCTTAGAGGAGATCTTTGTAGTCCCTTAGTCATGTAGGTAGAATCCATAGCAAAAGGAAATTTAATTCTGTCTAGTGTAGGGTCCCTCAGGTGCTAATTGACATGAAGATGTTATTGCCATTGTTTATTGTTTATCTGGATTCCATTATCTGAAAGCAGTGCAATCAGCTAGACTTCCTGGATCAACTGAAATATAAAATCTCTATTTTAACATTTATACATATATTCATTCACTGTTTTACATTGAAAGCAGTCATCATAATGTGATTTTTCAATACAGTAAAACACATTTCTTTTAAACATGCTACATGCTATGCTTAGAATGTTCCATACTATGGCAATAAACCTATCCATCACCATGAAGACAGGCAGGTGAGTCAACCAGGCCGGGTTAAAGGTCAGATATGTTGAGAGGTGACCCCACTCACAAACAGAATGTAAGGTGTTTTTTTCAGCAACAAAAATACCTGTTTAAATGAATGCATTATAATTATGCTTAAAGCCTTACTGTGGAATATTCCAGGCAAAGCAATAGTCTGCGGTCAACTAAAAAAAAATCTTGTTTGACTAAAACTCTAGACTGTGAGATGACTACTCTTCATACTATTCTACTGTAAGGCATTTTGAAAAACATCCGGCTAGTTTATTATACAATATGTTTATTTGGGTCATAATTGATATCATGGCAATACTAAACACTTACACTGTCTAAAGTATTGACTTGTTTTTTTATTATGTTTTGTGTTTTATGGTTGAAAGCCAAAGTAGATTAGATTAGACAAGTGGCTTTGCTCCAAGAGGCAGGCAATCAGAGGCAGAATGTGTACCAATATAATTCAGGATTGTATTGAGTTTTTTTTTTTTTTTCTCATCCTGTTTGTAATTTCTTTGAACAATAATCTCATTGCACAGTCCTGTCTGCTGTAGTGCTGTCACGATACAAAAATTTCGAACTAGATTAACAATACTTAGACAATACCCAGGAAGAAACTCTATACTTAATACCGATTCCATTACCAGGATGATAATACAAAAACACTACTTCTCTAGACAATAGAATGTGATTTTCAACATTAAATAATAGTACTTTCTTTTATGTAATATTACCATGAGGTCTTATATCTGTGTAATCCCATAGTCCAGTCTATGTGGTCCTTGAAACTTGATACAGCTCAAGATCAGCTAATCATCATCTAAAGCTATTCAGGAAAGGTTAAATTCTGTCCTGTGAATGTGACTTTCCTTAGTATCAATACCTGCTCAAATGAGTATCTAGTCTTATTACTTGTTTTAGCATCAATTAGTGTCTGATTCTCACTTGACAACCCTAATCTACAGCATAATATATCTCGTTTATTGTGCATCGCTAAACGTCTTTTCCTCCTCCTCTCATGGCCTGCTTTTGGTCTGTCTCCTGTGTGCTGTGATCATGGCGTTTGCTTGTTGCGGTAGCTTTAGCGCCTCTGCCTGTCTGCTGGAGAAAAACTAGGGGAAAGTTCAACCTCTCGCTATGAATCTGATTACAGGTTCCACGCATGCGCACTGCAACGTTTCCTACACCCTCTGCCTCTCACAATGCAGAGGAGAACTGGGTTATTTGAGGTGAATTGACATAGAAAAAAAACATATTTAGGACATCTTTATGGAGGCTTGTTACTGTGGGAATAGGCGGTTGGCTTGCTATTGTTATTAGAGATTAGTTTCAGCCTTTAGGAACATTGAAAGAGCTGTACATGAGAGAAATACATTGTAATTTCACAGGGAACAGTTTGTACTTTTGGTCTCATGATGGAAAATGACAGTTTTTCAATTTTATGTTTACTATTTACACAATGAACAGATAAAATACCTCCTATGCATTGCTTGTATTCT